CAGTGCCGCCCGAAGGTGCTGCGTGACCAGTGACTGTAGTGGTAATGAGCGATGAAAATGCGAGTGGATCACCGTTCCATGGGTGGAGGACCCTTTTCGGAGAAAGTACCGTCAAAGCGCGGCTGCCTGCTCTCAGTGTTCCAGTCCAGCACAGCCGATAATAATGCGTGTCCTCGTATGGTATGCGCTGCCTTTCTTAAAACTGGAGGCACCTCTTGAAAGCGTCGATATCAGAATGGCGCGCGCGGGAGTGGATCTGGCGCTCGCCTTTCAACGGGACCGAACTAAAGGCCCGCCTGCGGAGAGAAGGTTGACTCCACCCTTGACCGTGACTTCCAACAGAAATAGGCGCAGATATAAGCAACAACGAAAAATGTGTACTGCGCCTGCGTCGCTCAGCACCTGCAGTGTGGAACCCGTAGAACACTGTACTTTCCGCACTGTCTCCGCAAGGCATAGCACCAGCTTGATGTCGAAGAGGAGTTTGCGATTGAACTGAGGTTACGCAGGTCTGGTACCGAACCGTGGTCGAGAGTGCCCTGGTGTGCTCCGAATATTACAACAAAGAGGGCCGTTTCCAACGGCTTCGAGGGTATTAGTGTCGTGCTGGTCGACCAGTCAAGCAGCGATGACGTGTCGGGGGGTAAGTCTAGGGTAATCTGGTAATATTAAGGAATTAGAAGTGAAGGTCAGAGGAAGAGCGTCGAGGGCGACGACGTCGCAGTGCTCATGAAGGAAGACGCACAAGAGTAAGACACAAGATAGAAGAGCTGGCAAGGGTACCTCGAGGTAGTCGTCTCAATCGGGGCTCCTCTACACTCGTGCTTCCGTGGCGGCTTCGACGGTGATTCGTCGCTTCCCGTCTAGTCTCGAGTGCAACTGGTGCCGAGCGCGGCCGATCAGTGCTGTAGGGTCTCTCCGAGCTAGCGTGCTAAGAGATGAACGAGCGGCGGCGTGAATCATGCGAACAAGCTCTAGTGCAGCCAATCAAACGTCGCCTGGGCTTCTTTCTTCTTCTGTAGGCACGGTCGCTTTGGAAGCTAAGGTTTCTCGCTTGTTGACACAGGCCTGGTTGATTTTGCTCTTGCACCTCGTCGAGTCCGGAGAGGGCTGCAGTGTGGTTGATGCGTTCTGCAGATGACGTCGAGGGTACAATCGAAAACGACAGGACGGTATGCACTCAGCGAAATACCGGGTTTGCGATGGAAATGGGACCTTGTCCAGCCCGCTGGCGCATGTGTCAGCGTGCAAGGACGGCACGGCGGGACGAGGTACAAGAAGACAGGCTGGTCGCAGATGCTGTGCCGTAGTGCAGCGACTGTTCTATATGCTCAACAGCACTTTCGAATGAAGCCGAAGAGAGCCCAAGGGTCGTTTGGCGCTAGAATGCAGCAATAGCCCGTCCGCACTATGCTGCCAGAGCGAGGGTAACCCATGCAGCCGGATGGCAGAGCCTGGCTGCACAGACTGCGCGGCAGTAGAGCAAGGATAGCGAGACGGCTTGGATTCAACGGCAATCCCAGGTTTGGGGTTGGTAGGGCACTGTCCAAGGGCATCGAACGGGGGACCCGGTTGCATGCAACGGAAGAGCCCCATGTCTGTAGACACTCACAGAGACGCTCGGAATTTAGCCACTGCAACTACTCTACTTGAGAGGTCGTATATAATGATCCATTGGCGCCCAATATCTCAGCATCACGCCGTTCGACAGCCTGTTTGCTACGGTTCCTCTGATCCGTAGCCAGAGACACAGAGCGCTCGAGTTAGCTGATGAACGGACCCCAACATATCCGTCGGGACCACTCGCAGGCGAGTGCAGTGGTACTGAACACGTCCACACACATGGCGGCTGTCACACGCCTTCCGACGGCGCACGATGGCGGCTCCGGGACGTGCCTCAGGACTCGAAGGCTAAACTGACAGGACAGTCAAGGCTAGGATACCCACAACATAGTCGCGTATCACTGCAGCAGACGGCACGCACGCTGCGATAGAGTGCCCGGTACGCTCGCTGTCGTCAATCGGACCTGGAACGGGCGTCGAACCGTGCAGGAAACGTCCCCATTGGGCGCTGCAGACCGATGGGGCAATGACGCATTGTGCATTCACGTTCGTCGGGCTGAGGGCGGGTGATGTCGTCTGGAGGCTATGAAGATGCATGTGGGGAGGATGATCGCCGTCAAATCGCGCGGTGGCTGGGAGGATTTCTGCAGGGATGTGGTTCGATTCCAAGCGAAGACCGCCGAATGCTCCGTTCTCCTCATGAAAGAAATTCTACGATGTTACACCGTCATCCGCACCCCCGTCCAACACCCCTTTAGCCACAAACTGCCAGCGAGTGAGAGGCCGGCGCACTTCCTGCGATGCCTCATGTGGCCGGCAGTCTACCTCAGACAGCAGCGCTATAGCCAGCCATGTCCTTAGCGAGGTCTTGCCGGGTCACCATCACCAGGTAACACTCGCTGTCGTCAAAGCACGATGATCTGAGTGCTAGCTGCTTGCTTGTTGCGCCTCTACGACAGATCGTCTCGTTGTCTCGGCAGCCTTCCCTCGTGCACCACGTCTTCTCTCCGTCCTCCGACATGCCGCTGTTCCTGCAGGATACGAGAGCCTCCCGCTATTGGCCCTTTGCATATGTTGCAAATATTGTCCCAACATCGACCTTGTATGCGCTTAATTTACTTTTCGCTTACTACGGCGGAGGCTCGGGCTGTTCATCGTTGTCGAGAGATTATCAGCTGCCGTCACGGGCTGCCATGAGGTTCACTGTCACTCAATATTGCAATACTAGTCAGGCGTGCACTCTGGGATATCGCAAATCTGCCTGCACAGTCCAAACAAAAGGGTTGCCCTTCTGCTCTGGTATCCGGCCTCCATCCAAGCGTCTTAATCTGGATATTTGCATTGTGCAAGCTCGGAAACCTTTCCAGTGCCTCGCGGTTGTGGGCCCCTCATGCGGATGTGGGGTGGTGACATGGCCTCTATCGCAAAGACCTCGTGGACATTCTCCCTGCATCTTGTTGGATCTAAGATCTCTACTGCACAAACACGGTTGGTATCTTGGGACACATCGCGACTAGGCTTCTGGTTCCGTTGAGCCGTATGCAGTGGACGCAATGAGTCTTAGGCGCCATAGCCACGTTTACAACTGCCGCAGCAAGGCAATGATCGAAAGAATGAACACACATGGTTCACAAACAATGCACTAACGACCATAGTACATTCTCGTGCCAAAGATCGGACGGCTCGCTGCAACTACACCACCGTGCGTCTGGGCTAAGATGTCAGTAACAACAGCCTTGATCTGTAAGATCAGCTGGTGATTTGACATGAGCATGCGTCGAGGCGGTCAGTAGATATGCATCCCGGCATACCTTTTCTACCTGTGAAGCTTGTCAAACAATTCTTTGAGTGTACATTGCAGATTATCAACGGCACACACCGTAGACATGACGGTTGCGTACATCTCAGACGGGTTGATCGGCATTCACAGCAGTACCTATGGGATTATTATCAGCCCCCCAATAGGGCCAGATGGCGCTGCCTCTCTGCCGCAGCAACTAACGACTGCTTACATGCAGCTTCGACGCCAACTACCGTCCGGCGGCCCCGAAATCCATCATCCATCCGAGCAGGATACTGTCGCATGATAATCACTACACCGGTCTTGGGTTACACGGCACTTGACTGACAGAGTGTAGCACGGCTGCACTTCGCCTGCCCTAGCTACTCGAGTCGAGTGCCCCTCGAATGCGAATGCGGCCAGGTCCAGATCCACAACACTTCCAACTCCGTTATTGTTGCTGTACATATTGGTCACAGCTCTTCCCGACCGCCCCCACCTTGCACAACGAACACTCCACATACCACTCCACATGGATCGCTTTGCGTAGAAACGCAAGCTTGTGACCGTCGAGCAGCTTGACCGACTGCCAGATCAATCCGCGAATCATTGTATCATACACACGTGTCCCTCATGATACATTGTGGCCGAGAGTTGAGACATCGCAAGCGGAATTCGGCGATCCGCGTACATTGAACTGTCACCAGCAATTTGGCCACCTATGAGCCAAGAAGATATGATGTATGTACGCAGCAGGTCACTGGTCGCGCAGAACGACATGATCCCTGGACAAAGGGATGCTGCATAGCCGGTGTCGAGCGAGCCCGCGGCTTCCAGGTCGCCATTGGCTGTACGAAACTGTGGCAGAACTACGAAGACTTGCGTTGGTCTAGCCGGGTGGCCGGTGCAATGCAGCTGATGCCAAAGCTGATGCGTTTGTATTGATGGAAGAAGCAGATCAACAAGCATCATCTCTTGCCCAGATGAGACAAGAAGCATACCACCGCACTGACAGAAACCTGTCCAAACAGTCGAAGCCTTCACAGCCCGCCAAAAACGAGTTGAACGCTCCTGAAGGAATCTAACGCTGCGTTCCCCACGATAGCGCATGAGTTTATGACTGTTGATTGGCTCAACTACGTGCGGTTCCCACAGCTCTACCATGGTACAATTTCTCAGCGGCGTGAACCGGCCGCACACTCTTAATTCGCCGTACGGCTGCCGACCGTATGCTTGCTTTTACGTCAAGGCGATTCCCCGCTAAGACTGGTTGCACGTGCGACGGGGCAGATGCTTCCTTCCTTGTCAGTGTCGGAGATCAGGGTCCAAACATGCCTGATCATTGAGGTAAGAGCCTTCAGCAAGCCTCGTTCCTACTCTACCTTTGCAAGTCTTACCATGAGCTTGTCACTCTTGGGCGGCGCGGTATACGAATCCATCTGCTCGATGCCTGTGTCGTCGACGATCGTGGTGCTGTAGTTGGAATACAACGCTGCGACGATGTACTTCATTTCTGGATTCAGTCAGCGTCTAGCATCCATGTCTTGGGAACGGAGCGCCCAAAAGCAACCATGGAGGATCAGCACTTACGATATATCGCCAAGTGACTTCCAACGCACATGCGTCCGCCACTGTCCATGATAGTGAGTGTCAGCGGTCAACGTGCTTCGAGAAGTAGTACTGACCTTCCAAAGGCCCAAAACCACCGGCTCTCCATATCCCTCCGCTTCTCCTCGTCTAGCCTGTCCATGTCCAGCCATCGCTCTGGCCTCCACTCGTTTGCGCGCTCGAACACTTCCTCGTTGAGGTGCAATAGGCCCGCGCTTGCGCTCACCCTTACTCCACTAGGAATGTGGTACGAAGCCTCTTCAGGCCCAAGTTGACAGCCTTGCGGCGGCGTGAAGCGTGGCTGGGGGCCCGGAATGGCCGAATGAAGACGCAGGGTCTCCCATATGACGGCATGGAGGAATGGTAGGCTGTCTACAGCCTTAGCATCAGGCAGTGTCGGCGCTGATGACGGGATAAGCTGCGGCGAGAGACCAAGCAGCTCAGCGCGAAGACGGGCCTGGATTCCCGGATGTCGCGAGACCTCGTGGACGACGTAGGCCAGTGTTATCCCGGACGTATCGAACCCGGCCGCAAGATGGTCCAGCACCTCGCTCGCAATTTGAGTCTGTAGTGCGCTCTCCCCACCCTCCTTCGCGGCTTTTGTCATGGTGTTTTGGAGCTGCTGCCACACCACAGGTCGATCCTCGATCTGTGCATCGCCTGCGCTCGAGACAGCACTAGCATCGTCGCACATCCTCACCGTCCACCTCTCGATCTCACCGTTCGCCTCATCGACCCACTTCGGTGTCAATCGGTAGCCAAGCCACTTCTCCACAAAGCTAGTAAATCGTGGGAACTCCTGCGGCCAGAAGTTGTAGGATCGACGCGAGTTGTACAAATCAAGAAACCACGCAAGCTGCTTTCGGTCATCGATTAGGTTCGAGCCTGCCTTGAGCCCGAAGATGAAGCACGTCACAATGTCCATCGTGGTCGCGCTGAGTAGTGCGTAGACGTTCAGGACACCCTTCTCAGACTCGGCGAACGTTGTCTCCAGATACGGCAGAAAGCGCTTGTACATAATGGCAGACGTCTGGCCGAGCAGTGCCTCGCTTGCCGTGACATGAGACTTGCTATAGATGTTGCTCAGCATTCGCTTCCTCTGGGAATGCGGCTTATTGCGTCCAGTGGAGAACATGTTGTCGACTCTACGATGAGTCAATAAACGCACGGCCGGTCATCTGACAGTGCTTACCCTCCATAATTCGAAAAGAAAGCATACCAATTGTACCCATCCTTGGCACTGCTTTTCTCAAATCCCCCGGCATAGACGTCTCGGATCCCTCCTTTGACGCAGTTCACGCTGATCTCGCTGGGTCCCAAACACACAATTGGGCCCAAGCGGTCATGCGCTGCCTTCAGTGTCGCATTCTCGACACCCCGCCATCGGACTGAATGCATCCAGAGTGAAGTGATATGCGCCAGCGGATGAGCAGCGGGGACCTTTCGCAGTGGATTGCGCACATAGCTAGCCAGCACTTGGACGATGAGCAGAAGTGGGAAAAGGATACCCAGGGCGGAAATGGACAGGCCGAGCATCGTGTTGTATCGTGCCACAACCCCCAAAAGCAATTGTAGAGGCGCCTTCGAGAATGCAGGAACGCAAAAGAAAAGGCAGATGTCAACGACGCCTTGCGAACGACGGCGCTAGACTCGGGCTCTGTCCCGCTTCGATCGGGATATCCCACTCTGACATCCCCGCAGCACATCACTCTTATCGCAACCCGGTCCAACCGTATCAGGACTAGTGCTCTCAGCCCTATCCGTCGCTATCCAGCCACGAGCATTCTCAGCCTCCTTCAAGTCTCAACACGCGAATCGAGATTGATGATGGATGTCTAGCAAAGGGGTTGACAACGAATGTGTCACAGTACACGATCATCGCGTGCTCATAGCCTTGGCATGCGGTATCGGCACCCCAACGGCGCTTCAGGTTGCACAAGTCACTAGAGGAATGCAATGCAACGCGCTGCACTGCGATGCAAGGAGGAGCGAAAGCGGCGAGTTACATTGAAGATGGAGTTCATCCTTTGGGAACGCCGGTGTTCGGCAACTTTTACCAACGACGAGCGGAAAAACGGGTTCTGCTTACACAGACCGTATGAGATCGTCCTTGCGTGCAGAGAAGATCGGACTGGGCGTTAATCGTTCAGATGGGAAGATGTATGCTGGGTGATATCATAGGGTTTGGGGCGATGTATGGAGCCGGGAGAAGATCCCAGGTCATACTCACTTGAAAATGCCATGGAGACTGGTGGGTGACGGACTGTGCACTGTAACACGACCTGTTCGGTAAACAATTTGTGTCCGCTGCGGTGCGAGGTTCGGTACGGGATACAGTTTGGAAGTCCGGGACTGAATGTCGAGAAGGGCGATGAGACGTCCCACGCGATGAGGAAAGGAGAAAGCTCAGTTTGAATGGATGAGCGATGTACTCCCATGCTCGCGATACGCAACCTTGTTGTGCGTGAGATTTCATTATATCGTTGTTCTACCCTGCAATTGCCCGACCAGTCCCCAACTCCGAAGGTTGAACTTCGTACCATACGCTTCTGTCGTCCCATCTCTGCCATTCTTCGTCGCATGCGCATCCACTAGTGTACCAGTGAGGCCCCAAGTAGTGATGTCGCTGGACATATACCTTAGGATTTACTGGCGCGCTACATCAGCAGGTTCAGTCTCAGATACGGGGGTCTACTGACTCACCTATTGAGGGACCAATGTGTTCTTCAAGATGAATTCATATGCCAGTATAACAACAGTGTCCAGAAAGAGACAATTGGACCTGGAGTAGAAGTGGATATGTGATGTTGATATGCTATATTCGTTCATCAAAGTAGACTGTAACTATGCGCGCGGGTATCTGCATTAACAATATCCGAACAATCACAGGCTTATTATTCAGTAGTCTTGACATCTACAGCATGTTACTCCACTTCAAAGAACGATGATTCGATCAATATCAGGCAACTACATCTACTTGCATATCCACCGTGTTGTTTTCTGTGTGTCCATGATGACATCGCTTCCATAACCTGCAGGAGTGTCTAGCCGAGCATGTGCGCGGAATGTGGACACAGCAGCACTCTTGGGATTTGTATTGCTACCTAGCTCGAGCGCCCCGGGGGTGTCAGCTGGATCGAGTGCGTTGAGGTAAGAGAACAGTGGAAGATGGAGCATAAATGAGGATTGTGATTGAGGTTTAGAAGAAAGAGAACTAAGACAGCGTCATTGATACTCGTCATTCGCCGGAGATATCACCAGCAACAACAACGAAAGAGTGGCACAGCCTCAGAAACTTCAGACCGACAGGCATCACCGAGAGTAGTTCATAGATGAACACACACCCTAAATTGAAACTCAACATGTGTTTTTTTCTTTCGAGAAGAGGGCCCGAGAAAGGCATCCTCACACTCTCTTCTCGGAAAAAAACCACACACCAAGCTCAACTCAGGAGATATGTGCAAATACATTGACTAACGCCCCCGCTTCGCAATCCCATCCCATCCCATCCCAAGGTATCTCCGTAATGCATATACACCAATAGCCCCAACTAGCTTACAACCATAACACTACAAAGAATCGAAGCCCTAGTTCTCCGCGCTGAAACATAAATAGAAAGGGGAACGAGAAAAAAGGTAGTTAGGTGTCAGATCAACACCGACCACCAAACACTAAATATTATTACAAGACGTGAGCGGGAGAAGTGAAAAGGGTGTTAAGCAACACTCATGCATCCTGCATGATGATATCATCGTCCTCCTCGCCCTCGGCATCAACATCCATATCCCCCTCTTCCTCATCATAATCGCCATCGGCGTCGATATCCTCATCATGCTCCTGTTCTTGTTCTTGTTCCTCTTCAATGGGCAGCGCTTTGCCTTTACCCTTGAAGTCAATGCTACCCCTTGAGCTAGCAGAGCTCCGTGTACTCCTTCTCCCGTTAACAACGACGGCTTTAACAGCGCCTCCGTCTGAAACGTCGTCCCCGTTTGTAACACTTTCGCCGAGGCGGCTGCGTGTGCGGCGGAGCGAAATGGTACCGGGCGTGAGGGCGCCGTTGGCGGAGGGCGACATAAGGGCTTTTGCGCCGCGGCTGGGCGAGAGTTGCATTTTCGATACGGGGGCGGTGTGGATGGAGAGGGATGTGTTGCGGACGCGATTGGGGGTGCTGGTACGTCGGCGGGTGCCGAAGGGGCGCCCTGGGCGGCGGCGCTGTGCAGGTTGGCCCGGGATGGGAGGGAAGATTTCGTAGCGGGAGGGCGGGATTGCGGGTTCGTCCATGTGGGAGCCGGCGAGTGCGACGGTGGAGCCGTTTGCGAGGGGTGTGCCGGGAGCTGGTGAGCCGCCGTTGACAGAGTCTTCGGCGGGGTGGGGGCCGTCTGCTTCCTCACGTGTACCGTTGGCTTTTGCTGCGGCCATCTGGACTCCTTCCTCGGGTGCAGGCTTGTCTTCTTCTTCGATTTCGTCGCGCTGTTGTACTGTCTGCAGGGCGGGTCCATCTTCGTACTGGCCCAGACGGCCCATGACGTACGGTGTCCATATCAGACATTCTGGGTTTATTTTTGGGTTGCCTGCAGCGTTGCATTTCTCAATGTATGACTTGAAGTAGTTCAAATCAAGGCGAAGCGCGTACTTCTTCGTGACAGGGTCGCGCACGAGAGCTCGTAAGCCTTCCAACGCTGATACAATGTCATCAGGTGTCATGCCGGTGCGATCCGATATGGCCGATATGCTGATCGCAGCCTTTTGCTGGAGTAGTTCCTCACATAGGACAAGCCGCCAGTATTTCCGATAACTCACCAAACCCATGTCACTGAGCGGTTTCTCGGGGCTTCCAGTTTTTCTCTCCACGCGGGTCAAGAGGTAGGAGAACTCTATCAGGTACTGTCCGTAGCCCTTGCGCATGTGAATGGGAAGTACGAGAATACAAGAAACATTGTTGAGCGAGCTGGGACGCTTCTCTTTCGAAAAGTAGCCGACGAAGTGACACCCGAAGTTGTCATTTTCTGTCATGACGTAGAACAAGAAGGGCTCGACATCGTAGTATAGCGTCTTGGAACCGAGGAACAGCTTGGCGAGCAAACAGAGATTCTGGCAGTATACTGGATTCTTTCGGCCATCGACCTCGAAAAAAGAGTACTTGCCGTCGCGGTAGATCTCGTCGCCAGGAGGGTGCTTCGCTGGACATTTGAGCTGTGTTTGTTAGTATATGGTCATGGAAAGAAGTCGAAATGCTTACCTTATGCCGCCATGCCACATAATCCGAGTTCATGTACTTGAGACAGAACTCGCATATGTAAAGCACCCGATTCTTGCTGTACTCTTCAGGATATGGCGCAGCGTGCCAGGTGTCGATCTCCCAGCCACCGAAATTGACGCATTTGATCTTGCTCGCCGTGGTTGCTTGCTTGTGCGACCGGAGTGGTTCGGGCGGGTAAAGTGCGGCCTGCTTCACTTTCCATTCTTCTTCAGCCTTGATACGAGCATCGTCGAACCGCTTCCGGTCGGCAGGCGAAGGGTAGGTTTTGGACGTATCAGCATCCGCTTCTGAAAGTACACCACCGTAGGGCTTGCTCTTGACCTCGTCTGGCTCCCTGTCGGTGAAGCCTGGGAACGGAGCGGCATTTTGAATGTGTATTGTTGGGTAATGCAAGACCTCTGAGGATTCTCGTGCAGCCTGTGCAGCCCGACGATTTCTTTCGCGACGCTCTCTATCCCTCTCGCGCCGCCTCTCCTGTCGCTCTTGCTCGCGCGTGAGTGTCTTTACTTTGGGCTTGGCGGTGACAATCTTCTGGACTTTCTCGTTGTTGAGATGGAAAGCGATGATCAGGCTTCCAGGCTGGGCCTCTTCGATCCATGCGAGTGGTCGTTTGTCGGTCCTCTTAGGCTGACCACGACGTGCTCGCGCTGGTCGTAAGCGACCTGCCTCTCGATCTGAACCAGTGTGCTCTGCCTCGCCTCCACTCTCGTGACCATCCGTCATGACGCTACGAGCACTTCGTACGCTTCTTGAAGGTGGCCGGGGTGAGACAGCAGGCACTGATGGCGCCGCATCTGAGTTGGATGCTTCGGAAGGTCTCCGCTTCTTCCGTGTTTGCCTCGACGGAATCGGCGCTTCCTCTTCCTGCGAAGTCTTGCGTTTGCGCAGCGAACGTATTCCATCTGCTGATTCGTCGGGAAGAATTAGCTCTTTGAAGAT